CAATCAACTCTAAAAGCCTGCCCCATGGCCACATGAGGCTTTGGGGGGACACACAGACAAACCATAACACATTTTAACTATGATATGTCTTGTGGTGCTTCTTTTCTGAACATGGCTATTTGGTTATGGTTCTATATGCCTCTATATATGGTTCTATATGCCTCAATTATCTATATGTTAAATTCTTTTTCCATGTTTGGAAATTTTTTTACTGTTATTTCAGTAAACATTATTTTTATGCCCTTTGTGCTATCTCCTAATATTTCATTAATTACATTTAGTCTTAGATTAGTCTCCTTTATATCATTTAGCATCTACTGAATCAATATTTATTATTCTGTTGTTTTTAAGATCTCTATCTTTAATTAATAATCAATCACATTTCTGTTTTTTAGATCTGATACTGTCCTCACATAGGTTACTTCTGTTGTCTGTACTTTCAAAAGTATTTTTAATCTCCTGGACTTCTTTTAGTAATTTTTTATTGACACCAATTCTTTTTATGCCTAGCACTCATGATATGCGTCTCTTTCTTTCCTCGTTCTCCTAGTTTTTTTGTTAGTGCCTTTTCTAGACTCACTGATCATTTCTTTTGTTAGGGCTGTTATTTGCCTAATTATATCTTCTTTGCATTAAGCAAACACTTTATCTGTTTTGTTACCTCCACTGTTATTTTGTCTGGGTGGCTTTTGATTTCTTCTTCCTGGGTCCTTGCTGGCATGGCTTTGGGGAAGTTGGGAGTTTTAGGAGGAATTTTGTTGCCTTATTTACTCATGTTTCTATTTTTTGTTTATTTTGTTTTCTACGCTGATGCTTGCAGGTTTGGCATCTGTCTTGTTCCTTATAGTTGACATCATCTAGGTATCATCAGGTAGTGGAAGAGGTAGCAGGGCAAAAAAGGTCTATCTAATTCCTTACAGGAGTTGTTTTACAAGAGTACTCAGCACATTTACAAAGGTGATTTAACTATGTCCTAAAAGTGCCACCACTTGATACTGTCATGTGGTGCCTTAAGTTCCAATTTCTAATTTGGTCTGGACATACATATCCAAACCATAGCAGTAGACAAACCTGGTGGAACTTTCTGCCCCCTTTCCTGGACCTAGGGGAAGGAGGTTGTGCCCACTTGCATGGTCCTTAAATGAAAACTGGATTAGGATCAGGGCAGGCTCTGGGAGAAGGCTGGGGAGGCAGTGTAAGCAAAGCATTGGGTTAGGGCAGGTGGAGATGGTAGGATAAGTATCAACCGAGAATCTGTGGGGAGGAGAGGTGTTCAGGGACCGGGTTCTCACAGCCCAGGCTGAGTGCTCCTTAATCATACTGTTCCTCACAACTGCTCAGATGTGAGTGCAGAACTCCTCCAGTCACAATGGGTACCTTGATCCTGTGGGCTTGCGACGTCCTGCACCCTTGCTTATTAAGCAGGTGTGTGCTCTGTACTGGCCACAGCTTGCACCTCTTCAGAGATCAAAAGCAGTGAGGCAGAATTAGCACTGGTCATCAAGGCAAGAGACATTTTAGCCAAGACAAAGGGAGAATTTTGTGAAATATTTGGGAAGAGGGGTTATGCATTTCTTTTCTACATTAAACAAAAGATGGGTAATTTTATGATAGGATCCAGTACTTGGCATGTGGGTAAAAAATAGTATCTTCTAACTATAAGCTTCATTAGCTTCTTTCAATTTATTTTCTCACTGAATTATAAAACACGGTGGTCTTTGATCTAGACAGCATGGTTCCTTGTGGCTGGCTCCCAGAGAAGCTTTTGGGATAAGGTGACCCAGCTGGCATCACTGTCCACTGCATGTATCTGCTGGGAAAGGGAGGGTTGCACAAAATCACCACACCAGCAAGTTTACAGCTGGATGGTACCAAGATATGATCCTGGCCAGACTCTCTCAAACTGAGAGTCAGGTCCACGTCTCGGGGGGAGCGGTTTACTTGCTGGGACTCAGTTGCTGTGGGAGTAATGAGGCCTTGTGCCTGTAACAGTGCCCTGGACTGCAATTGGATGTCTGAGAGGGTCGGTTTTTAACAAGCCAGGCCCTGGTATATGTCCTAGGTGGTGACAGGAGGGTGGAGGTGAGATAGAACTCAAAATATACTTAGGGACTTGCTTGTGAACAATCCCATTTAATTCTCCTTGATCTAGGTGGAGAGGCAGTGGGGACTACAGAATTAGTGCCAGAAGAATTTCATAGAAACGTGTCTGTTTCAGGCCAGCTGGCCACCCTGGCCCTAATGTGAGGATTCCTTGATGCTACACTGTATCTTTGAAGAAGGAGGATGGAGGAAGACAAGAGATGTGTAGGAGGCAGCTCCATAATCTGGAAAAGATTGGGAAGTTGATTCTTCCTTATGTACCTTCCGGGACACAGGCCTTCTAACTGTTCTCAGCCTAGTGCCACTGATTTAAACTTTGCCTTCTAGATCCAGAAGAGAGTACACAGATGCCATTTTAAGCTGGTGGCAGCTTGTTGCAGTGGCAAAAAGAAAACTCACAGGGGCTGGGGATTTAGCTCAGCGGCAAAGTGCCTGCCTGGCAAG